CTGAGCTGCGCCAGCTGCAGCGCCGGCCCCACCCCGGGGCCCTGCCCTCGCCGCGCCGCGCCCGCCTCACGCAGCCAATCCACGTCCGAGCTGCCCTCGTGACCGGCAGCTTCTCTGACCAATCGAGTCCCCCATGCCCATCTCAGGTCCCGCCCCATCCCCCACCCTCGGTCTCGGGTCCTCTTCCTTCACCCGAGAAGGGGAAAGGGGGAGAAGGTGGCAGTCGCTCGAGGAGCGCCCCTTCAGATGAGAGCTGGGGGTGGGGGACGGCTGCTCCCCGTCTCCCCTCCAGGTCCTAGGGCCCTGGGTCGCGCGGTAACCCAGACGCCTTGGGAATACCCTCCCCCTTTTTGTGTGTTTAAGGGACGGCACGGGTAGTGAGCGCCCTCATCCGGGCTCCCCGACCCCGGCTGGGTCGCGCTGGACTGGCTTCTCCAGTGTGGCCGCCGGGCCTCTTCCCTTTCCCTTCTTTTCCCCACGAGGCCGCTATGGAGCGGGCGCATTCTTGCTCTGCCTGGGAGGGGGTGCTGGCGGGACGGGGACCTTCCTGCAGGTCACACCCCTCATCCCTGGGCCCCTCGCTCTGGGGGCAGCAAGACCCTCAGATGTTGCTTGAGGCCGCGGTTTGCTGGCCTGATTCCCTGCAGCTGAGCCTGGCGGGCGAGGCTCAGGGCTCTGGTCAAACGGCAGCTCCTCTTCAGCTCTCCATTCCCACCCCTACCCAATGCACCCTGATCCCACACTTCGGTTAGTGATGCATGGTTGATCTTCCCAGGGTCGGGCCGTAGAGGGGGCCTCCTGTGTAGAGGGAGGCCCAAGAGGCTTGACCCAACCTGCACCCCAGTCCTGGGTCCAGGCTGGGGTGGGTTTTCATCATTAGTGCTTTGTGCTGCTCAGGCCCCAGGTGTCCTCACTCCCAGCTGCAAGCAGTTAGGCTGGGCCCTGCCCACCTCTCTCTCTGGGTCTGTTTCCTCTGCAACCCCTGCAAGACTTTTGCCCTGGATTTTGGGCTCCCCTAGCCTTGCTGCACGTCCTCAGCCCAGCCAGTTCTGGGCCTGGTCTATCTGCTTTGTAGGACTATATCCACCCTCCTTAGGGTCTGCTCTCTGTGGCTCCCGCAGGGCAGGGATCTTCTGGCTTCTTAATAGTAGACCTTGAAGATGGGTTGGGTTTGATGAGGAGAGAAGCCCCTGCCTAATAGATTGAGCAAAAACCTGAGAATCACCCCTGGGTCGCCTCCAGGCTCCTCAGACTACCAACAAGGCTCCAAGGAGCAACTGTGACCAGGGTTGGTGCATACACGTGTGTGTATTTCATTCCAGATAGGCTGTTCCAGAATCCTCTTGGGTTGCAGCTCCAGCTGCCAGAGGCATAAGTTTTCTTAGCTGCCCTGCAGCCTACCTCCCTGTCCCTCTCCTGAAAGCCAGTGGTCTGGCTCTGTCTTGATTCGGAATCCCTTTACAACCTACGTTCCTACTCCCTCCCTGACTCAGCGCCTAATATGCACTTTCTCAACGGGGTCTCTGCTGCTGCTCCCTTGGATCTGATCTTTATTCTCTCGTAACCCAAGCTGACCTGCCCAACCTTTCATTCTCCTCATAGTTGAAGAAAATGTTCCCTCTTTTCAGCTCCTGTAATTGCCCCACTTCCTCCTATAAGGCCTTCTGAGTCAGCCTTTATCTGACACCCAAGGAACAGCCAGCTCCCCGGGAGTTAAGGACAAGCCCCATGGAGACTGAGTTGTGCTGGCAGAAACACCAGGCACGTGGACCTGAGTGGCACGTGGGTTCTCCCAGCTCTGCTCCTGGGAGTCCCTCATTGACGTAAGGCTATTGCTGGTGTCATTTAGGACAAGATCTTCTATGCCACACCCACAGATGCCACCACCATGGTGCCCCTCTCCAGGCCCATCAGTGACCTCCTGTTATCCTCTTGGTCAAAATGAAGAATATCCCCCTCTGCTCAGGGGTCCTAAACCAGGTGCCTCAGAGGGGCTCACTTCTCCTTCTCACTTTTCATCCCGCCCTGCCTTGCCCTCCTCTCTGGCTCGCATGTTCTCCTCCCTGCTGGTCTGGTTATCCCCCTTAAATCTCCAAACTTTCACTCCTGGGCCAGAACCCACCCTCAGATCACCACCTTGTCTTTTGTCATGTTCTTGAAATCCCATCTCTTCCAGGAAGACTTTTGGACTGATTGGAAGGAACTTAAGGCTCTTTCTGACACTGGCCTTTCCAGCCACTGACCCCAGCAGCAGTAGCTGCATAATTTGGTTTATGCTGGACTCTGGGTCCCCAGCTCAAGATGTGCAAGCTAGCTATGGGTGGAATTTTAAAGGGCAGACAAAATAATCAAAACAGATCCATAAAGAGTGACAGCATTTCTGTTATATACATGCCAGAGGCATTAGGAAGTGAGATGGAGGGATGTTATATTTTCTGTAGGGTGAAGGCCAAGGGGGATAACCACAGTGACACCAGAAAGACTACCTGGAGGAGGTAGGCTTTACAGAAGGGCAGCAACTTCCCCACCGCATCTTCAAGTTACTTTCCTGGTTGGGTTATGCTTAGGGTCTATATGATATGATTCATTCATCTGTATTAGTGTTTGTATATTGCTTCTTGTCTGTCCATTTGCCATATGCTCCTCTGGGACTGTGCTGGCTGTATTAGACTCCCTAAGGTCAAATGTATCTCCTTGTCTGTCTCTATCACACTCTGTAAGGTACCTAGACTAGTGCTTTGTATAGGTAAGTGGTTATTCCTGGAGGATTTTTAAGGCAAGAGCTTTAGGCCTAGACCAAGAACTGAAACACCTAGTCAAGGTTTTAATCCATGTAGCCTTAATGATTAGGGTCACCACCAATCTCACCTTAGAGATGGACCCTTCACTGACCCACTTAGGAAGATGAGTTCATCTTTAAGGAACATCTCTAGGCAATGCTGGTCAGGCTCTTCTTCTCTGAGTCTAGGAGGTGATGCAAACTTTGCTTAACTACTAACTGAAGGTTGGTAGTTCAAACCCGTCCAGCAGCACCATGGAAGCAAGTCCTGGTGATCTGCTTCCATGAAGATTTAAAAAAAAAATTGCCATCAAGTTGATTCTGACTCATAGTGCCCCAGTGTGCTTCAGAGTAGAACTGTACTCCACAGAAGCAGATCGCTAAGCCTTTTTACCACGGTGCCACTGGATAGATTCCAACTGCCAACCTTTGGTTAATAGCTGAGAGCAAATAGTTTTCGCCATCCAGGGATCACTTCCGTAAAGATTACAGCCACAAAAACCCTGTGGAGTAGTTCTACTCTACAACACAGGGGGTCACCATAAGTTGGAACTGACTCGACAGCAATGGTTTTTGTTTTTGTTTTTTTCTGAGTGTAGGAGGCAAGAGACAGGAGTTGTAGCCTATGGCTTATCAGCTGTATGACCTTGGGAAAGTCATTTCAACTCTCTGGGCCTCTGTTTCTTCATATTTAAAATACAGGGATTCTATATATTTTACTTTTAATATAAAAAAAAAATTATCAAAAACAAACTCATTGTCATCAAGTCGATTCCAACTCATAGCAACCCTATAGGACGGGGTAGAACTGCCCCATAGGGTTTCCAAGGAGTACCTGGTGGATTCAAACTGCTGACGTTTTGGTCAGCAGCCATAGTTCTTAGCCACTATGCCACCAGGGTTTCCACTTTTAATATCAGGCTCGCAAAAATGAATATTAAAAGAATAAGGTAACATTTTGGGGATTGGACTAAAAGATGATTCCTAAAGGCCCTGTCAGTTCTACAGTTCTGATTCGTATTTATTCTTATATCTGTCCTATGAATTTGCTTCTTCCTAATCTGTTGTCTGGTTCTCCCTATTCTGTTTCTGTTGGATGGGCTCAGGCTCTGTGGGCACAGCATCCATGTGAGGCTGCGCTTCTGTAGTTCAGCCCAGGAGATGAAGAGTTGGGGCGCTTGGATCTCAGTGTGTGTATCTCCCTAGATCCCTCCAAGCCTTAGAGGGGCCCCTGAAAGCCTATGAGGCAAAAGAGAGGAGGCCACGACCACCGAGGCCCATGGTCCCCCAATAACCATCAGGCTGGAGGTCGTAGAACCCAAAGTCGTTGCACACCCATGTCTCCTAGAGGCCCCTACAAAGAGGCTGATGACAATGCAGGTTCCTAATGGAGACCAAGCCTTCACACCTGAATGCCTGGGTCCTGCTGCCCCAGGCTCCCTCATTGATCCAATCCCCATCCCCAGAGTCTCAGCTGAGGCATGGCCC